TTCAAATTTTCGTTGGAAGTTAAAGTTTTAGAAGTTTAAAAGTTAAGTGTTTTAGAAGAACAAAGCTATGAAGCTCTAGTACAGAGTATATCAGCATACATATGCAATGTTTTGATAGACAAGATAACAAATGAGGTGCGCATGTGTCCCGCTTTAACGAACGTCAAATGAGACGCATGGACTTGCATAACCGATGCATCGTTTACGTAACCGTATAGTGTAGAGATGTGGTTAGTTTTAATCGATATTGAAGTCGCGCCAGTATTTTTACGTAGTTACTCTAGTTTTAGAAATAAGAAAGCTGAGAATTGTGTGTGTATAAGTAACTGAAATATATGACTTAAGATTTCTGTGAGTACATAGTAAGTATGAACCCTTATTTTTTCTTTTTGAGGTTTACAACGTAACGTAAAGAATAGCGTTTTTTTACTTGTATTCTCTATACTCTCTATCTCTATCTCTATCTCTCTATACTCTTCACATTAAAGTATTCATCAAAGAGATCTTAATAAATTAAAAAATGAAACAGTTTAAAATGTTATGAAAAAATCATGTTTCAAAATTAAGACTAACAGTAATACAACTTAAGAAGCTGGTAAAAAGTCATAGAATTAAATATCTTTAAACAACTAAAAAGGTTTGGAACATTTGTTTCTATTTGCAATACTTTCGCAATCGAAATCCAGATAGATTCTATACAATACGAATTCTGATAAAATTATTTTTAACGATAAATGAAATAACACCACTAGTTAAGCATGATCTTTGCTATGCGTAATCGCGTCCCTAGCTGAGTCTCAGGCCGTATCCACGTCTATCTGTAGTTGTGACCTTACTTGAATGTACTTGACTGGTGCGCCGAGATTTTTAAATAAAAAAATTGCAACAGACAAGTAGACACTGACGCCTAGGTAATGTGGTTCATTTATTTTATTACAAGTATGAATAGTTCATTCACAGTTCACACACATTCAATATATGTCGTTATAAGCTAATTTGTAGGTGTTTATAGAAGATGCTTCATATTGAGATACATTTAGGTAGTTGCTAAATAAGCGGGTTAAAATCTACTGATCAATTTTGAATACAATATCCGCAACACACAAGTTTTCCACGTCAATCCTTTTTAAATTTAAAGAAGACACCGACCATCCTGTCTTATACATACATATGTGTATTCAATCTTTTTTTTTATTCTACACGGGTAATCGAGTAACAATCCAGATACACGTACTTAAAACAGATTTGAATATTTTTGTAAATATATAACAACCTATATACAAATTATTGGATTACAATTGATATTAAAAGTAAGTACTTACAAAAGTATTTAATCATTTAGATAAACAAATGTCTATAGACAACTATATTATCCTTTTTTTAAATACAAGAAGTTATGGACAAGAAAATAAGTAATTACATACTAGTTAAGGAGTTTTATGTATAACACATAAAAATACCACTTAGTCTTAGCTTACATATAATTATGAAAGGAATAATTACGAAAATGGCTACATTATTGATTTATAATTAGTACGTTTACCTATTCTTTAATTGTTTACTTAACATTAAATAGTCTTAATAGAATTACGGTGAATTGTAATTTTTTACTACACACATAAATAATTATAAAATTAACAAAACTGGATAACAAACAATTTCATTGCCTAAAAGTTTTAAAAATAAAAGGCGAGGTTTTATATATCATACCTAAAGAGTTTTTATTGAAGAAACATTAAGCGATATGGTTTGATGCTGATGATTTTTAGTAATTTCAAATCAAAGCCCAAAATTAAGGTCTGGTTATAGAATTTATCACCCAATTACATATTAGATATCAACCAATATTAATTCAGCTTTAAACCAGTAAAATTTAACATTTTGAGGTTCATGTGCATTAGAAATAAAATGATATATGAAATAAGAGTAAATCTTCCGGAAAACTGAACCTGAGGCTTATTCATAATCTTCCCAAAAATTAATTAAGTCTGCCATGCAACATCAGGCGAGCATGGTCTTACCTTTTCACCTAATTACTTAAGGACTTCGTTTGCAAGTCCCAATGTTCGTTTAGAACGTGGGAAATTATAGATAAACAGTTGTGTATTTGCACTATCACACTTATGACCAGAGTATTAATTATACAAGCGTATACATGAAATGTCCGTGTGGTGACGGATTAGGAATACAGAATGTCATCACTCCTATTTATTCCGTGGGTGTCGTAAGAGCCAACCAAGTCGGCAAACTACGCAGGACAACAGCACTGCAAAGAGAAAGAAAACTTGAAACAAACCCTATACCAACCCGTCTGGCCAGCGTGGTATATCAGGCCAAAACCTTTCTAAGGAGAACCTATGTCCAGCATTGGACTATGAAAGGCTGTTGATAATCATGATTCAAATTAATAAAAGTAATTAAGGATAACTCGCATGTACGAGGTACAGAAATGTAGGCTAGTACCGAATATCGATATTTTTAGATAAGTTTTGCCACATTCTATTTGAATATCATGAAATAAAATACTTACATTTTCTTTGTAGTCTATTTTTAGTTTTATGTTCATTTGACAGTATCATTTTAATGAGTCGTGTTATTTGCCTTAATTACTTGTTTTTTGATAGTCAAAAAATCGCTTTGATCAATCATCATCATCATCAGCCTATCGCAGTCCACTGCTGGACAACCTTTGTCGTAGCAGTCCGTTACACAAAAAATTACGATATTTACCATAATGAAAAACGTATATTATGGTAAACCTAATAAAAAATAGTGATGTGCCGGATATCCGTATCCGCGGATATCCAAGGGAGAAGAGAGATCCATAACCGTATCCGTATCCGTGACTTTTTTGGCGGATCTTACAATACATATTACATAGATGAAATTCTATATAGGTGATTTTGTATTCACTGTAAAACTCTGAGGTATGTGTTTGTAACACTATAAACAGCAACTTTTTTCTGGCCAAGGTCAAAATGAAAAAAAATTGGTCCTCCATTCAAATGACCAATCAAATGTTGTTAGTTTGTATAGAGAAACAATTTTTTTTCTTTCGTTTTCGGTGTTAGTCCAGAAGAAAAGTTGTTGTTTATAATGTTACTAATATGCACTTCAGAGGTTTTCAGTAAATTTAAAATAACCCTGAATAATGGTTATTAGGTAGCTATGTAAAACTATTGAATTCTGTTCATATTACTTTTTATTTCTTAAAACAAATATTTGGCACCTTTGTATTGCAGTCATTTATCGTACTATACTAAATCAACTAGGCAGGTCGTAGGTACTAAAAGAGCTATCTTTATAATGAGATCAATCAAACATCTTTGTATTAGCTTATTAAAATAATGAAATATTTAAAAATCAACAGCAAAGCGTCAAGTGGCGACAACTATCAAGGTCACGGGCTCCGATTGAGTAAGAAACTTAAGATCCGTATCCGTATCCGTATCCGCGGATCTTTATACCAAATATCCGTATTCGGATCCGTATCCGCGGATATACTTTGTTAACGATCCGGCACATCACTAATAAAAACAAAAGAGTTAACAAAAATTTTGTCATCATGAGTGTGTTGAATGATTTTCAGCTGAAGAAAAGAGGTGCTGCAGATACTAAAAAATCTCTGCTATGCGACTTTTCGATTTTCGATAATAAGTACTTTAAACGACCTTACATAAACAGTACAAAAGTTCTCGAGTAAAGTTTGGAACAGCAGCTTTGTTTGACAATCAATACCACTTCCTTCCTTTATTAATAAGGTATCGGCATCCGTCTTATCCAAGTCTTTGGCTTCGGAAGTCAGAAGACACCTGTCGGATCTTTGTTCCCTGCGCTATGTTACAAGCCTCGAGGGTAACATGGTGTGGACGGTTACTCCCGGATGTTCCCACGGCCCCCACAGATGCATTCATGCCTAAATTCGACGCATTTGCAACATGCACTTGTATGGGAATAAGTTCTACTATTTTGTAAAAATACACATTGTTATCAATACCTCGTGATGTTCTCACTATTTAAAAATATTTTACATCAGTTCTGTGAATTTAGAATTTTCTGCAGTGAGCTAAATGTAATAAATGTATGTATAACTTTCTATTGTAACAATGAATGTTATTCAGTACAATTTTTCTCCAAGTTGAATGTCGCATGGTACAATAGAAAATGGCATTAGAAACGTTTCAAAAGTTTTTGTTGTCTTCTCCTTATGTTACATTCACCTGTCTTCGTCTCTATTACACCCTAACCGAAGGTTGTTTTCTCTACTTGTCCTTGTCCACACCGTAAGAATAAATGCATCAAAGAAAGAGACAAGAATTCTTTAACGCGCCTTTGTAGACTGAACCATGTGGCACGCGCCGCTCCATTCGGTTTACGAACGCAAACCAGTGTGGACGTAATGGTGTCTCTAACACTTCGATAATCGCGCTACTCTCGTGCTTACGACAACTCAAAAATATTGGAACTTTATTTATATCATCTAAGAACCGTTTCAATTTCTTGTAGTTTTTCTTGAATGTGTTATAAAAAAGTGTTGACTGTGTTTTAAGTGAAAAATAAAAAGTTATAGACTCCATTTAGAAAATTTGTGAATAATTTAAACAAGACAGTGTTGACGTTTTCGTGACCAGCAGCGAAATACGTATAACCTACATCCAGGGCGCGACGAAGACGCCTCCAAGTGAAAGTTTAAAGCCTACTGTTTTTGTGCATTAATGCTGTTTTTGAGCTCTCGAAGCTATTTAAGGGCGATTCTTTTAAGCAAAATATCGTTTAAGAGTTTTCTTTTACAACTAAAGAAATAATTGAAAAACTTCCGGGCGCTTATGAGAAAACTCGCAGCTGGGTGACCTGAAAACTCTAATAAAAATAAACCATTTACTTTAAGATTTATATCGTCTTTGAAGTTCGATATCTTAGGATGATTAATCGTGAGTGTCGCGAGGATGCGCTTCGGGAAGCCTGAATAGACAGTGGTCGCGATTTATTTTTCTGGCTTTATGAGGGAGCGAAGGTCATTGCCGATCAGTAGCGAAGTGGCGCTGAAGAATGAGAAAGAAGGAACTGGAAAGTTAGCAGTGAATTCAGTTATATGCGGAGTGGTGGATGAACTGTCTAACGGAAGAACTGGCAGGCGAGGATCTTGGGTGCGTCACGCAGTCATGGGTGTGCTACGGTGGAAAGACCTGACAGGGGTTAGGACGAGCACGCCGACTGAACAAAAAGAGGTTTGTATGTTTAAAACATGCGTGTAAGATTCCCTCTAACCATAACTGAGAATTACGTCATTGATGATGTTATGTGTTATGAATCGTCAGATGTTACTGTTTGGGTACATTATTATTAGGTCATTATGTATGGTTGTAATCTGTACTAATATAATGAAACTGAAGAGGTTTTAATTCATTGTTAGCAGTTTGAATAAATTTTAACTATATAATTATTTTACTATAGCTCGGGTCAGTAATTTATTTCTGGGTGAAAGTTACCGTTTGTCCTTTTCTGTACCCTTGACGAAGTTCTTGCAAAATTCCATGATGATTGGGGGAATAGTTAAAGGGTGAAAGCGTAACAAATAAACAAACTCACTTTTGCATTTAAATTATACTATAATATTTAGTTAGTATTATTCATATGTTACTTCAACTATATAGGCAGATAATTTTCAAACTATTTAATTGCATATAGTCGTGTGAGTAATTTAATTATTAGTTTTTTCATAACAAGAAACCAATTTGAGAACATACTTATATATTTTTCAATTCGAAACACACATGCACAACGTTTATGAACAATTTTACGAAATTTATTTCGCAAAATTTTGAATACAAAAACAAATAAGCAATAAAAAAAATATGTTTTGTAAATGACAGACTCAGTAACCGAGAAGTGAATCAACTCATCGTTTTCTAACCTGATTTTCAGGTATTCCTATCTATGATATTTTGCATAGAACAAGCATTAAAACTTGATATGATCTAAACCATTGATATAATACTTACACCATTGATATACACTTACTTGTTGTTTTAACTCAATGATCTAAACAAGTTTCGATGACAGTGACATTTCACTTAAAGATACTTTGTACTTATATATCATGTATTATACTTATCATAATAGTGATTAGGTATACATATTATGCTTCACCTATTAATATGTGCTAATTTGCCTAATGCGATGACAGTAATATTAAACAGATATCATACACTCTAGTAAAATAAAATGACTTGATTAGAATGGGTAAGTACTCGTACAAATAGTATGAGACAAATTATATTTGGAAACTAGAGGTGTACTAATCATTTTACCCTTAAGAAGAGGTACACTGTGTGAAAAAAACAAAAAAGTTAAGGTAAGGCAGGAAAGGCCGTCTATGAGGTAATCTTCTTATTATATAAAATTCTCGTGTCACAATGTTCGTTCCCGTACTCCTCCGAAACGGCTTGACCGATTCTCATGAAATTTTGTGTGCACATCGGGTAGGTCTGAGAATCGGCCAACATCTATTTTTCATACCCCTAAATGGTAAGGGTGACCCATCCCTAATTTTTTTTGTTTTGCAATACAACGTTTGCCGGGTCAGCTAGTTACATATAAAATTGGACATTAAAATAGGTGTGTATTATAGAAAATAAGCCAATATGGGCGAAATCACATATTTTGGACTCAAACATCCTTTCTAGGAAGAGGCCTATATCCAGCAGTGGAAGAAAAAATATAAAAAGCCAAAGGAATTTTATTAAAACAGAAAATACTTATCTTATATTCCCTCTATGACACTCAAAGTTTGCCTGTAGCCACTTTTGAGAAAACGTCCTTTGAATAAAACATGAATGCTTGGTATAGCAATTGTTCCTACAATTATTAAAATAGACGTATGTAGCTTTACTAATTCAAGTTACAAGAAACCAAACGATACTTAGGAACCCTCAAATATTTTTTTCTTAAATAAAGCGTAGTAAATAAATAAAACATTATACTTAAATGTTGAAATCTAATTGAGTTATTGAGTAAAGACCATCAGAAAGAGATATCAGTTCTTCTATACATCTTTCAGCGCCAACAGCCTTTAATAGTCCCCTGCTAGATAGTTAGAAAGGAGGTTTCCCCTCTTCTTAGACAGGTTTTTGTCCAAAATATGTGATTTCGCCCATATTGGCTTATTTTCTATAATATACACCCATTTTATTGTCCAAATTTATATGTAATTACCTCATAAACATAAGAATTATTACTGATTTTCCTTCAGAATATCCTTCATATACAAATTTCCCAGCAACAACTATGACATTTTTATTTTTTTAAATTCATACTAAACTCAAATACAACTCCGGTTCGTGATTCACACATTACGCGAATGGGTGACGAATAGTGAAAATTGTCTCGGCCGAACTCGACATGTCTTTGCAAAATGATTTACTATGAAAATTTGTGTCATCTTGTTTGCACGGTAAATTATATTCACGATACGCAACTCAATGTCGAATTAATTATCTATGATTTGTTTTTAACTGAATGTTATCCAAATTGTTAGGATTTCTTTGTACTGCTTAAGACGTGCCAGTTAATGCCGTTTGCAGATGATGCTAATCTGTAAACGAAAACCTAAAAATAATATCATCATCGACAAAACTTTGGGCATCCGCTAAAAGAGTTCCAATACTGTTTTTTTGGCAATCTACGATCTTCAATGGAAGTTTTTAATTCCAGTATATTTAATAATAATTCCAGTAAAGGCGATTTTGGCTTTGATTTGCCACCAGGAGACATTAGGCCGTAGGTACATTAGCTGCACTCAAAAATAAGGTATTCTTAGGTAAATATGTATAGATAAAGAATAAACAATTAGGTAACGTTAAATAACACTATTTACTAAAGAAAGAATTTATTTATTAAGTTAATGGATTGCTTAGGTTATTTTTAGGTTATACTGAAACTATCAGCAAACAAATATATTGAACATTGCTAATTAACTCCAATCAATACAACACAATTACTCCTCAATACATTAATCATTTGGATTACTTGTAAATAATGCATCGTAACAAATACCTACAAGGCAATATATTAAAATAAATAGACCTAATACACAATTAAACAGGTATTTATTGGCACACAGGAAAATGCAATCATTTAGTTCCAGGAATTATTTCAATTGCATGTAGTTTATTTTATTTGTTGTACCTACTTACTGCCGCCACTGAAATTATGCTCGATTTAAGAAAAAAATGTAGTCGTTTTCACCATCATTTTCTGGCATCAAAAAAAAATCTTTTTCGTTCGGATTTTCTATAAATTATCTATAAAGTTACTTGAACTATCATGAAGCTTTATGCTCATGCACTGCTTGCCTTAGAAATAGATATTTCAGTCTCCACTTGACTATGGTACGATATTCCAGAATACAACCTATCTGTAAAATTAATAGTCTATAAAAGTGGCTAAAACAACTTCATCTTATTTCCATAGCAATTTCTCTTAACACATAAACACATTTTAATATACAAATGAATTCATTTTAAGGCTAATTCATTTGCCTATTGTGATAGTGTTAATCCCCGCTGACTCGCCACAAATGTAACCCCGGAATAGACATATATATTATTAACGTGCGTATAGTCTGGGAGCCGTATAGCGAGCCGGGGTGCGTTTACCAGGTGCTATTTTCCCTGATGTCGGCTCGAACGGGGTTTTCTAATGAAAAATTACAGCTCTGAGACTTAATAAGAGGTGGGACGAGAGGATTTATTGCAAGGAACAACCACTTCAAATATCGGGAACAATTTACTTTTTACTGGTAGAGTATAATATTTTACGTTTCGACTGTCGACTGTATTTTAATTATTTAAATTGGTTGTGTATTGCTATACATAGCAATAAAATGAAAAAAATACAATTTTGTAGAAACATGTACATATGTATGCACAAAATATTAAAATACAACAATATTATAACACACTTGTGACTCTGCAGTTGCAGGTGTCCATGGGCGGCGGTAGTCACTTACCATCAGGGCCTCAATTCCGCTATTTTAATATTGTTTCAATAGCCTGTCGATGGAATGTCGTCGGAATAGTTTTGCACTTTTCGTATTCTACTATGTAATAAGACCAATGGCGTCTCGATGACTTGTCACTGATACAAAATAAATGTCGTCGATGTCTTTGAAATAGTTTTGGTACGGTACATTTTAAATTTTTAGGAAATGATATATTTAATTTTACAGGTATGGCAAAGTTGTTGATTGACACCATTGCTGACCAATATTACGAGTACTATATCGACAGTCTATTGGCACTGTGAAATCATGTTAGTAGAATACTGATATTTTGACTGATGTCAATGGCGTCTCAGTGGCATCTCAATAGCGTGTCAATGGAATTGACACTGGCTTGGCGTTAACATAAAATAGCAAAATTGAGGCCTAGGTGTCCCGTCTGCTCCTTTTGCCCCCTGTACTATAAAAAATACATAATAATACTTGCAATTAGTGAATTATGGAAATCGGCACAAAATATTAGTGAGTAAAATTGTCATAACTAAACTAAAATTACTTTTTAATTTTGCAATTAAATGCATGAGTATTGCCATGGAATCATAACATATCTTAAATTTTGACTCATTCCTTGTAACGTTTCCTGTTCATAGTCATACTGTACATATAATAAACTAAAAAAAGTAAATAAAAACCAGCCATAAACAATATTTACGACAGATCAGTAACTTCTTATCGGGGTGTTACGGTGAATCATATCGCAGTAATCACTTAAAGTAAAATTTCTTAACTTGCGGTGGGAGTAGTCTGGTAGAACTTTTCTATTTTGCTTTGCTAACAACTAGCCAAATACAGATAGAAGTACTTTGGATTTAGAATCAAATTAAATTTCACATTCTCCTATTTACTTTTCTAATTCAAATATCCACTCTGTGCTTTCTTTCGTACTCAACTAAACTATTAGGAGTAAAAAGGTACTTCCAAATCGAAGTACAATTTTAAATTAAAATGAATGTCCGGTTCTGCTTGTTCTCTTTGACCTTGAGTATAAAAGAATTGGTTAAGAGTATCTACACTACTGAATGATTCAGTGGGGCCTGATGTTTGTGTAATTTATTTAACAGGAGAGTGGAGACTTAATTCAGTGCTGAAGTTGATTCTGTTAAAAATATAAACTGAATCAAACGTGTTTAAATTTCTGGGAAAAGAGGAACAAGTCTTTATTTGATTACAAGAAAAATGTTAAGAATCTTCTGAAACTAATTGCAGCTAATTAAAAACCAGTTGTTGCCCCCATTGAAGTTTATTGTGAGTGAAACACAAAAATGACAATTACTTCGGTCAGTAAACGTTTCGCGTTTAGAGTTTTGGAAAAATTCTTAACTCGCAACTTAATTATTTTTTTTGAAATACCTCTTCACACTACAACCTACTTCAATAAAACGAGATGTGACACATTAATTCTGTGCTAAATATCAAGCACATTACTAGACATCAAAGTGACGTGACGTCATTAGACGAAAGAGGTCGTGGCACTAGCAGCGAAAATCAAGCTTGGTTTTACGTATATATCGTCGGATGTACGTTTATCTTACTCCAATTTACTCTCGCGTAGAATTTTACTAGCGCATACGATATTATCAGGGCCGGCACGTACGCACTTGTAATATAAAAAAAAGGTTCTAATTGAACAAGTACACTGTACTACGTGAAATTAATATATATATTGCCTATTTGAGAGTTCGTGTGGTGCCTTTAGATGTACAATCAGATAAGCATAAATGTTAGCCATAAAAGCAAAACTCACTTTCGTTAGTAGTTTTTTATCATAAAGTTTCTTTAAATACATATATATATAATCTTCTTTGGATGGAGCTCCTGTCACAATATACCAGACTATAAAAAACTTATTTTTGTATATATAACATATGTTATTTTATACATAAGCTACACTGGTCATGTCAGACAGGTTTTGACCTACCAT